AAAACCCGGGGAGTGACCCCAAAACTCGGGGAGTGACCCCAAAATCACAGGGAGTGACCCCAACCCCCAAAAAACCAAACCCCAAAACCAAACCCCCAGAAATAAATCCCCAAAAAACCCCAAATCCCCAAAAACCCAAATCCCAAAAACCCCAAAAACCCCCAAACCCCATCCCTGGATTTGGCTCAGCCGGGCCGGGGCCACTTTTGGGGTGGAAAATCCCAATCCCGATTAATTCCCGATTAATTCCCGATTAATTCCCGATTAATTCCCGATTAATTCCCGATAAATTCCCGATTAATTCCTGATTAATTCCTGATTAATTCCCAATAAATTCCCGATTAATTCCCCATAAATTCCCGATTAATTCCCCATAAATTCCCAATAAATTCCCCATAACTTCATGATAAATTCCCCATAAATTCCCGATTAATTCCCAATAAATTCCCGATTAATTCCCCATAAATTCCCGATTAATTCCCCATAAATTCCCAATAAATTCCCCATAACTTCATGATAAATTCCCGATAAATTCCCGATAAATTCCTGATTAATTCCCGATAAATTCCTGATTAATTCCCGATAAATTCTTAATAAATTCCTGATAAATTCCCAATAAATTCCCCATAAATTCCCAATAAATTCCCCATAACTTCATGATAAATTCCCTAAATTCCCCATAACTTCATGATAAATTCCCGATAAATTCCCGATAAATTCCTGATTAATTCCCGATAAATTCTTAATAAATTCCTGATAAATTCCCAATAAATTCCCCATAAATTCCCAATAAATTCCCCATAACTTCATGATAAATTCCCCATAAATTCCCGATTAATTCCCAATAAATTCCCGATAAATTCCCAATAAATTCCCGATAAATTCCCCAATAAATTCCCGATAAATTCCCCAATAAATTCCCGATAAATTCCCAATAAATTCCCAATAAATTCCCAATAAATTCCCCACAAATTCACAATAAATTCCCAATAAATTCCCCATAACTTCATGATCAATTCCCCATAAATTCCCGATTAATTCCCAATAAATTCCCAATAAATTCCCGATAAATTCCCAATAAATTCACAATAAATTCACAATAAATTCCCCAATAAATTCCCCATAAATTCCCAATAAATTCCCGATAAATTCCCGATAAATTCCCCATAAATCCCCAATAAATTCCCAATAAATTCCCAATAAATTCCCAATAAATTCCCAGGATCAGCTCCAAGGCTTCATTTTGGGGTAAAACCCCTCGGATTTGGGGTCTCGGCTTTGCTCCCCTCCCCCAGCGGATTTTTGGGATTTTTTTCCCCTTTTTCCCACCCGCAATTCCCGGTTTTCCCTCGGGAACAGGGCGGGGGGAGGGGCGGAGCCGTTCCCACGCCGGGAAAGAACAAAAAACTCCGGGAATTCCCAGTGGGATTTTTACTGGAAAACGGGGGGAAATTTGGGAATTTTTTGGGGGGAAAAGGGAGGAATTTTGGGGGGGGTTTGGATCCCGATCCTGGACCCCTCCCCAAAAAATTCCGGGGGGGGGGGGGGGGCTGGTTCGCAGCTCCCAAAAATCCCCAGGGGCCTCTGGAGAGGGATAAAAATAAATCCCCGGAGCTGGAAAAAATGACAAAATCCCGTTTTTCCACCCCAAAAATATCTCCTGGAGAGGGGGCGGGGGTCGCGATAAGGCTGAGACCCCTCCCCAAAATGTCGCGATTGATTTTGGGTTGTTCCCTCCTGGTTTTGGGGTTCTGGGGGGGGTCTTCAGGAGCCCCAAAAATTCCTCAGGACCCCCAAAAAATTCCTCAGGACCCCCAAAAAATTCCTCAGGACCCCCCAGGTGGGGCCTGGCCCTGCTGGGAGTGATTTGGGGTGAATAATTCCGATTTGGGGTGAAATAATTCCGATTTGGGGTGAAATAATTCCGATTTGGG